ATTTTCTCGACCTACTCAAAATGTACATCGTTCTGATACTTCTATCGGGCAGTTTCTTCTTCAGAAATGTTTACAGAATCCGATCCTGGGTAGAGTTTACGTGCTGAACAAAAAACTTTTTGTAAAAATACAAAAATATTGCATAGAAACTGTGCACATCGACACTTTTTTAAACTTTGACATGAATTTATTGCTATTCAGGACCAAAAACAATTAATAAATTGCATGCCACTATATTCAGAAAACACCCCTCTATCTTTTAACACCAATTAGAACTTTCTAACGTTTGTACTTTTCATGCAATACCTCATTTTTGTCGAAAATTTTGGGTTTTTACAAAAGTTCGTTCATTTAAAAAACTGAGGGTGATGGAGCAATTCGGTTTTCGGATTCTTATTCAGGGAGTGAAGCTCTACAAGAATTTCATAGTGGCTACAGGAACCCAGAAAAAAAGTTTGATTTTGTCGGACAGTGTTATCCAACGCCGTACTAGTCCCATCTCGCTTCGGTGGAATATTTTTCGACCGGAGTCGGACCATGACTGACACGGAACTGGAACGACACGTCTGATATGATCACCGTGATACAAATCGATAGGGTGTCTTGGTTCTTGTTCGATTAAGAGCAGACCGCTGGCCGAGATAGTGAATACACTGTGAAATCGTGTGTTCAGAGCATTTGTTTGGCAGTTCTGGCCGGAATAGGGTCCTGGCCCCAAAGAAAATTGCTCGACCGAGCAATCTTGGTACATTGGGAATGAAAGATAGTCGTGGTAGAGAGTGGTAGTCGTAAAGAAAACTCGTGGGGGTGAGTCGAGTGAATGATTCAGGTGGTTGAGGGATTATTCCAATCCCCGATACCGGAGAACGTTTCTCGATTGCGTTTCGCGTGCCGTGGGAACTTCGCGTTCGAATGTGATTTCCACGGTACGATTTTAACGATGACGGTGGCCTTTCGAGATTCATGGGTTCGTGCATCCCCCTTCGTGATGAACGCTGAGAATTCAATAAAGCAATCTCGTCCTAGAATCTAACGAATACGAGACTTCCTGTCGCAATTAGTCAGCGCATCGCCTTTGTGCCGATCAATTTTAGTCAATTATAAAATAATTAGTCCGTTCGACCATTAACACGAGCGTGGGATGATTCAATCTCAAGTTACCAATCTGAAAATTAATTTTCGTTACTATTTAGATTTATTTTGTGTTTAGAGTAGCGGAGCCGATTACCGAGTGGCTTTCAATTGCTGCGCCTTTGGTCTGTTTACGAGCAAAATGAACTTTATATTTATCAAATAAGAAATATTAAATTATTTTATTCTTTTATTGCATTTAATTATTTAGTGAAAAAATTATTCGGCAATTAAGAGGTATATAATAGGTACTTATCGACTAAGACATATTAAATTTTTGAATTAAAAAATAAACGAAACAGAAGAATAACAAAATGTAATATGTGTCTTGTTCGATAAATATAAACGTAATTATGTCGGGAAAGAAACTAAACAGTTGGTCGCCTCACTGTAACCGATTTCACCACTCTAGTTGAATTTCGCGTATTTATCGAAACCAGCTTTTCAATTAATTTAGCGCGATCAATTGTTAATAAAATTGTTATCTAGAGTTTACAATGAGAAATCATCGAGACGCCTGTACTCCAATTGTCTGACCACTGTCACTGTTCCACTAATCTAACTAGGGAGATGGCTCTATTCAATTTGTCTGACTAAGATTACCTCTATTCCATTTGTCTAGCCAAGAGCTGCTCCTGCGTATCGTATCTGACTAGCGGGCTGGCCGTTTCAGAAAGTTATTTGAGAGTTCAACAATGTTAGAGAAATCTTACCGCCATCCGATTACGATCTCGCAAGGAACGAACAACTTAGAGAATAGTTGATACTAAAATATTCGGCATGTGGTCATTTTGTCGATCACTGTTTCATCACTGCTATCTCTTTAAGCAAATTTTCAATGTCTTAATTCCTTTGATACACAGTTCAGTATAAAGATTAAAATCTCTTTTCATAAGAAGGAGATTCCTTTTGATTCATCCAAGTGCGATAAATACATAAAGTGTCTGTCCGATTCTTTTCATATCAGCACTTTGTCTTGTAAAAAATGTGAAAAAGTCAAACAACATTTTCCGTAATGAGAAATTCTAAATTCTGCTTGATTCACATTTTGTACTTCCAAACTTTTTAACGAAAAAATCTTGAGAAATGTATCATTCAAGAAACTATCCAGCTGGGTTTTTTTTCAGAAAGTACTCTATTTTTCTTGGCCTTATCTTCTCTCAAATGTTCTACGTTTTCCTATAATTTTCGCTTCCCCGTTATTATGACCAAATAATTGCTAAACACATCTATCCTAATTAACTGATGTTTCCGCCGACGTAGAAAATATTTGTGTAATCGAATTTGTGAATAACATTGTACACTCCCATGACAGTTGTTTCAGAGATAACGCGCGCGGGCTTAATTTTGCGGCCACTCTCGAGCCACGAAAATCTAATCGACCACTTTTGAGCCATAAAAAACTAATCGGTCTTTCGCGGGTCACAGTGATCAACGAATAACACTTGTACCATGTGATAATAAATAGTACCTTATAGAATTTTATTAATTTATTTCTGTGTTAATAAGGTTAATATCTGGTTAATATCTTCTGTATACACCTACTTTTACCAAACATTGACCCGCGCGCGTTACTGTTTTAGGTCCACCGTCACCGTTAGCATCGGCACGTGAGAAAACGTTCTTAAACCCGGGGAAAGATCGTCGGTATGAAGAAAGATATTCGTTGTAATCGCGGCCCTGCGTACCGTGAACCAATAGTGAGGCGGTGCGGGAGGTTTCGGCGGCATCGTTGCTCGCCACGCACGTATAGTTGCCGTTATGCGCCGTGGTCGCTTTCTGTATATTCAAAGCAAGATAGAAATCGCCTATGTGATGAGTGGTGGCCTCCTTAGGGTCCACCGGTCTGCCGTCCTTCAACCAGGTGATCTTCAGCGGTGAGTCTCCCTCGCTGACGGAGCAGGTCACGTAGACTCGGTGCCCTTCTTGTACATTGCCAGCAAAGCTAAACGGATGGATTTTAGGCGGTACTGAAAATTACAGGAATCACGACATACTTTATTTCATTACCGCCCGCTCCGGACAATCTTCTCGAATGAAAAACACTTTTTCTTCCCTTCCTCCGTCTATTTGCGATTTCGTCGTTTTTCCCCGTGTTTTCCGTCGCGTCGTTCGGTTTCGTCGTTTTCGAGAGTCTCGAGCGCGCCGCGGACGAAACTTTCTTTCCGGTTTCGATCGATAATGCCGGTTTCGAAGCTGCCAGACGACCGAAACGGAAACGATTGAAACGGAAACAAAAGCTGCACGCATCGATCGTTATCGTTCGACGCGCCGAGTCGAGTCGAGTCGAGCCAGACGACCGAGAGTTTCGATCCCTCGTGTCTTCCCTTCCCGCAGCACGGTCTATCTCTCTCCTGCGTGGGAATAGCTCGACTCGGATTCGAATAACGTTCTCCTGTCATGTGCTCTTAAACCGATTACTCGTTCTTTTTGCCTCTCTCCTCGATGTTCGGCGAAATGTTCGCGCGTTATCCCCCTCGACTCCCGAGCTGAACAGTCGCACGAAATCGTTCGCGTGCAGCACAGGCGATTCTAAAATCGTGACAAAAGAGCTTGCAGGTTTTGATGAAGTCGAGGACACGACCGAGCCCGTGGAAACGACTTATCGTGATTGCTGCAAGAAAATGTCGGCGTTCGTTTTGTTAATCCGAGGAACGCTCTACTGTTTCATCGGTGCGACTGGAACTGAGGTAATCGACGAACAGAGTGAATGGTATCATCGATATGGTCGCATTGAATCGGAATAACAGAGTGTTTTGTACATCGGACACCGTCGCGGTGTCCGATCAATTCTCGATTGAAAAATGTTTTAATTTTCGCAAACCGCAGAGATAGACATTTCGGAGGGAAACGAATTCCTTTCTGGTCCCGTGCGCGGCTGTTTCAATTTGCAAACATCGCGACGCCGCCGATTCTCTATACCCGGAAAAAATCCCTCGGGGCGCGTAACGAATGTAAACACCTGCGACTCTCGCAAAAATTTCCACCGAAGTTTTTCCCGAAAGCGCGGGAAGAGAGAACGCCGGACAATTAGGGAATATGTTGCTGGAACGCCGCGTCGCGGAACACCGAGATGTCTCTCCTGCGTGCTCGGAGGATCTTAGCGGAAAGTCGCGAACTATGTAATATCCTCGAACGAGCTCCTTTTCTAAAGACGGCTCGACGTCATTGCACTGCGCCGTGGAGACCTCCCCGGCGAGCATTCGGTGCTGTCGAAACGTAGGAAATCCTGACAGAGCGGATCAACGACAGACACGAGAGAGAGACCCGGGCCGGCAACACGTTGTTATTCCAATTCGAACGCGAGAGAGCATTACTGATCTTGAAAAATGTACACCGCTCGCAGGACACGAGACATTTACCTTTCACTTCGATGTGGATCGTCTGCGAGTCCGTCAGACCCTGCGAGTTGTTCGCGATGCAGGTGTACGCGCCGCGATCGGTGCTGCTGTCGACCGTGTAGAGCACCAATGTTCCGTTCGACGATACCTCCTGACGACGGCTGGTTGGTAAGATTTTGCCATCTGCGGTGAAGAAATGATATATTAAACCTGGTGAACGAGAATGCAATTGATCCGTGACGCGACGTAGAGTCTCCATCTGATCGTAGCTCAGAATTATAATGTTCACCCGGTAGACGCGCCACGCCGCTGTACGAAACTACGACGCATGCGTCACTCATATCCCCACTCATTCAGATGACTTATTTCTCTCAGACCGTGTGTTATAATTATGGTCATTATTGATTATATCGAAAAATACGTTAGACGAAACTTGGAGATTTGGACAGATCGCGAATTATTAATAATTTTTTGCTACAATAATTCGTAGAAATTCTGACCATTTCGAGGCAGATATTTGTGACAATATTTGTTACGGAAAGGATCTTGTATGTCACACTGACACATGAATTTCATGAGCAGCACTTCTAAAATTCTTCTTTTGTCAAAAAAATACCTAGAAGCCAGAGGTAGCTCAAATCTAATTTTTTGGAAGAATTTTGGAAAGATGTAAGCCAGGGGTCAAAATTCGCGGCCCGCGGACCGCATGCGGCCCGAGATGAACATTTTTGATGCCAAGTATCAGGACGTAAACAATAATTTAACTTTATATATGTTTATTACAATGTACTAGAAAAAAAAATATTTGTTTCTATGAACATTGATTTTTTTTGCGGTCCACCTAAAGTTAAGCATTGTTTATTTATTGTTACGGCCCAAGTTAGCTTTTAAGTTTGACACCCCTGATGTAAGCGATGAGAAGTGAATGAAAACTTGAACAATGAGCAACAGTAAGGGACGGAATGAATGCAGCAGTCAGTTTGCTATATGTCTTACGTTAGATAATCAACAACTACAGTGATACATAAAAGTGTCATCATTTAAAACGCAATAATCTTTTTAAAACTGGACTGAATGAATTGAATTTTTTTTCAAATGATAGAGAAATACTTTTGATGAGTGAAATACTTTTTTCTTTAATTTTGCTATTACTTGGAATGACAGAAAAATAAAAATCTCTTGTTTTTTAATTTTTTTAATCCGAGTTTATAACGAAAATTTAAAAAACGTCTGTCGTAGATCTCGATAACTTATATGCATGTAAAAAATTTTATAAAAATCGATTCACGTTGTTACGAGTTCGCAGTTTTATCTGTGTTTTACAAAAACTGTAAGAAATCTGCAGTTTTTAAAATTCTTCAACGCCTATAGCTCGACTCTGGGTTAACCGATTTTGATTAAATTTTCAGCACGCATCTGCAAGAGGCATTTTTTAAATTTTCGTCATAGGCTCGGATAAAAAAGTTAAAAAACGAGAGTTTTAAATTTTTTCTTTTAATTCCAAGTAATGGCAAAATGAAAAAAAGGCTTTTAAGCCACCGTCTAGTAGACTAATTGCTCTATCATCTAAAAAGAAATTCAAGTCATTCAGTTCAGTTTTGAAAAAGTTATTGCGTTTTAAAAGGCGTATGAACACTTTTGTGGGCCAATGTGTGTAGAAAATGTGAAAAAAATATCGTGTAAATACACATATGTTTTCCTTTATTTTCAATAAAATACTTATATTGATTTTATACGATAGTGTCAATTTGACACACGAGGGCCACATTAAATTGAGGAAATGGGGGCCGGACGAGGGTTAAAATTATGTAAATTATAAAGAGTCTTTCATAGAAAATGATTCGATAAACTTTTTAATTCAAGTCAAGCACAGATCATAATCGAAGCAGCAAAACGTCGACACAAATTCAGTTTTATGATTCTCATAACGCAACACATGCCAGACATGTTGAGTTATTCAAAGCTGTTATGATTCAAGCCCGGCAACTTTTTATTGGCGGAAACGGTGCCCGTGGATCTTGCGACGGTGTTTTCAATGTAGCCCATAATAAAGTAGCTTTGTCACGGACGCGAAGGGAAATGCAGTGACTCGCGGGGCCGAGACAGAGAATTGTAGCTAACGTGAGAAATTTCGTTTGCACAGGCGGGATGTTTGCACGGAATCACAGTTTCCTCCCATCGTGCTCCCGCGTCAAGTCGTCGTCGGTGTCACGGTGTCGCGCGGCGTCGAGTTTTCAATCCGCTTTTCGTAGTCGCGGCTCGACTTTGAAAGTGTCACGGGAAACGGTATTGCGCGCACGCTGTCATGCTACAACGCTCGTAAAAGGGAGAAAGTTACGGGTACCGTTTGAAACTTTTCCAGTAGTTCGGTTCATCATTACCGGAAAAAGAAAATGTTCCAACTTCTCGCCGCTCGGGAGGGAGAGAGGGAGAGAGGGGGAAAGTGAGAGAGAGAGAGAGAGAGAGAGAGAGAGAGAGAGGTAGAGGTAGAAAAAGAAAGAGGTAGAGAGAGGGTGAAAGAGGGAGAGAGGCTGGATTCGGAGTTTTCCTCAGCGGAGAAATAAAACCGACGATCTCCGCGTCCCCTTCCCCTCCCCTCTCTCGTCTCGTCTCGTACCCGGTTGACGGTCGTTCTCTTCCCCACGGTGCTGCTCGGGAAAAAAATTCATTTAAACCGCTCGAAAAACCGACGGTACTTTCAGTTTCTCTGAAATTTCATTCGTTTCCTTGGCGGAGAGATTTACGAGGGAAACTAGCCGCCGACGGTAACTTATTTACCGGCTCTTTATGCCCCGCACATTTCTATTTAAGCCTCCGTTTCCGTAGAGCAAGACGCTGCGACGGATCTGGATGTAGACGTATCTGCCGGGTATCAAAAAATTCGTGGCGCTCGAGCTCGGCAAGCAAACGGGTCAACGAATAAACTGAATGCTCGGACGAGAATGTTTGTTACGGGTATACTAGTCCGCCGTAATGGAATCGGAAGGTACAGAAACCGGGAATGTTTTAATGAAACGACCCGGGGAACCTTGTAACGACAATGCGATTGTTGCACCAAATAAATGTGAGCAAGACACCGCTGCGAGAAAGATTACCCTCTTCTATCGTAGTCCTCTGGGAACGTTAAACTACGTTTGCAATGTTGACGTTGCTACTGGGAGATGGTGTTAGTTTCAATGTTGATCTAGTTTTTTGTCGGATGTGGGTTGGTTTGGCTTTTTTTTTTTTAGTTTGGTTTTAAATATTTCGAGCATACTTGGAGATGAACCTTGTTGTTGAGTATACCTCTGGCTGTAGCTAGGGTCATTTCGAGCATCATTTGTTACTTTTTGGTGAATTTATTTCTTGAAATATTATTTGGCTTAAGCGAATTTCTAGTAATTTAAATGAATCATTAGTGGACTGCGGATTTTGTGCTCATATGACAAGAATGAATAAATCAAATATAAAACAGTTAACTACATGCACAAGGATTGAGAAATCATTGTACAAGGAAGACGATTTATATGTCTATATTAATTGCAATTGTAATTAAAATAATAATAATAATTCATAAAGATGTTGATACGATATTATAAAAGTACTGTTATATCATTATTGTCGCTTGCAATCGTCACATACTATATTTATTTTGCAAAAAGTCCGCAGTTCTAACAACAAGAAAAAAAATAATGTAAAAATTGTCT